TAACTCTACACTACCTCAGACCCCACTGTTATACTTCCTCTGGGTATAGTTTGGTCCAAACCTTGTCTAACTGCCTCTTGAAGTCGACTGTAGTCACATATTCCATCAAGTGCGGCGGTAGCTGATTCCATCTATCAAACACTCGGTTCATGGAGAAGTTAAACCGCACACCGAAGTGGACCCATCGTTTTGATAGATTTTAACTATGTTCCCTGGTAATCTAGACGAAAGTTCAAGCGAACAAACTTTCGGCGCTTACGGCAGTGAATCCATTCATTATCGTAAATGTTTCCATGAGATTACCTATACGGCGTCTTCTTTCCATAGAAAAGAGCTTTAACGCTTCAAGCCTTTCTTCATATGACTTGTCCCTCATGCCCGACAGCATCGGAGTGGCTAACCGTTGAAACTTCTCTATGCACTGGATGTCTTTCTGAAGGTGTGATGCCCGTAACTGGACACAGTATTCTAGGTGGGGTCTCATCAGTGCCTTATACAACAGAATAAAGACTTCTGGCTTTTGAGTGATCAGTGTATTTCTCAACTGGAATAGTTGACCTATCGCCCTTCGTGCTGCGGATTTGTATTGTTCGCCTGGCTTGTAAGTTTCGGAGACTACTATGCCTAAGTCCTTCGTTTGGGCTACGCGCTTTGGTTCGGTGGTTTCCAAACTCCTGCTTACACTAACTGGATCATCGTCAGTGTTCACTATGTGACACTTTGATGGGTTTAGGTCTAGGTCTCACATCTGTATCCAACAGATAAATTGTTAGGTCTTCCTGTAGTCGGTCTCGCGGGCCTGAGTTAACTAACTTTACATCTTCAGCAAATACGGAAGTCGGGATGGACAAACCCCTAAGTCATCAATGTACAGCAGGAAAAGTATCGGGCCTACAACGGAGCCCTGTGGCGCATCACTGGTGACTTTCCCCTCTGTCAATAGTGCCTCTCCTACCCAAACTGAGGGTCCCCCTGTTCAGGAACAACCCCATTCATTTAGCAAGAGTCCCAGGAAGGCCAAAGTTCTGGAGCGTTTTAAGACGTGATCGGTGGATAACCGAGTCAAAAACCTTTCTAAAGTCCAGGTAAAATCTTCGACTTGTGCCTTCATCCAACTTCCTCGTGACTTCATCTAGGAGGCACAAAAAGTTGTTGAAACATGATCTCTTTTTGAGGAATCCATGTTAGGTCGGGAATAGTAGGCTGTAGCGCGCAATATTCTCACCTATACCGTTTCTAACTACTGTAATATTGTATCGTTATCTGGTACTATTCGGTATCTACCCCCAGAAGCTCGTTCTGCCCTTTCACATCTGCATGCTAGCATATCCCTAATATAGGGAGTTCCGAACTCAATCAGAATGGGCGTAGCAACCCTGGCACTGACGCCATCTTATCTCCAACTCCCAATCCCCTGTACTTTATTTATGAGTGCATACACGGGTAAACATGCAGTTCTAAGGATACCTCGGACTCTTCGACCGTCGATATCCGCCCGGACCTTCGCGTCTCTTTTGACCAGTTCCTTGTGGTTCATAATAAGGACGCTTGCATTTCGGCTCGTCGTCAGTTCTTTTGAGCGTTTCAATTCAGATACTTCGTTCTCGAGGCTGGCAATCCTCTGCTCTAGGCGTTTGATCGATTGCTTCGGGTCCAGATGAGTATTGTGGTCTCGGTTGGCGGTACTCCTAGGCTCGGGAGCCTTATTAGTGCACTTTCGAGTTTTCTGTCATGGCTACGCACAGGTAACACATCCACTGAAGAACTGAATTATTCGAGTTTATTTCATATGCTTTTTGTCTAAGTGGGCAGAGCCGGGTGATACCAGTAGTCACAACATTCGTGCTGTATGCCGCTGGAGACTGAACTTTCACATTTCTGTGCACTGCAGAATTCTGATTTCGACATTCTTCCACGCTTAGTATCAAGGTCTAGTTCAAGGTCTACAACCAAGAGCTTAATTTTCACAAAACGTGAGTTATTCTTAGGGCTAACCACAAAATCAGTTCAAATACGTGCGGACTTACCGAAACGTTTGTTCGGAAATCTCTCACAATCCGTTACGGCCTGTAAAATTCAGGTAGACATGCACTCCGGTTTCGTTCTCGCCAGACTATTTCGATTTCTGAGAATTTTTGCACCACGACAGAAGTTTAAAAAACGCAATTTAGTTCACCAGAATTCGGGACAGGTCAAGTAGTTAGTCAGTCAGTCAGTCAGTTTCCACAGAACAGGAGTTGGCCACAGCGAATCGAGCTTCCAGAGTTCCTTCGATATTAAGCCACACGCTGGCACCTACCACTGTGTGTGTTCTATATTGTAGTTCTACATCTTTTCTCCCCGTCCAGTCGTCTCCGCCTCTGCCTTTGTAATAGAATTTGTTGTCTGAGAACGGAAGTAGTAAATGTTCGATGTGGCGTGTGGATTGCTTACGCAGTCGCTCGATGTCGGTGTCGCTGATTTGCGCTGTGGCTATGTTCTGTAAATCAATGGCTTCTGGGTAAGGGTTACCCTGGTGGTGGATGCGTGAGAGATATGTCGTACATCGCATGTATATTGTCTGATGTAATCAAGGTGTCGTGACTCTCGTGGAGTTTGTCTGTCGGTGATAGACTTAATGGTGTGAGTGATAGGACGGTGGTCGATGAAAACCATGAAGTCTCGTCCTTCCAGGAAATAGCAGAAGTAGCGGATACCGAGATAGATCGCCAAAAGTTCTCGATCGAAGGCGCCGTACCTTGACTCGGTCGGTTGGAGCTTCTTGGAGAAAAAAGTTATGAGTTGCATTCCTGTCTCACTTGCTGTTGGAGGACGGCGCCAACTGCGTTGTCGGACGCATCAGTGACTAGTGCTAGTTTGGCAAAAGGGTCTAAGTGTGCTATTGTTGCGACGTTGCCGATTGCACGTTTCAACCCACTAAAGGCGTCCCGAGCGGCTTGTGTGAACACTAACGTTTTGTTTTACACCTAAGTAGATCTCGAATTGTTTCCACTCAATCCCCTTTGTTCTCGTCTGCGGCGCAAACTAACCAGGTAGCTGTGTACACTTTCTTAACCCATTATCACCAGTTCACGGGACCAGCATCAAAGCAGGATCCGTGGAACACAATCTAGTCCGGTGCATACTTTCACAAGTAATGTGACCCAATATTCCGTATTCGAATTGTTTCTCAAATTGTTTCCACTCAATCCCCTCCGTTCTCGTCTGTAGCATAAGCTAAACAGGTAGCACATGTTGACAACTCAGCAGTGTTTCACCTTTACATTCAATCTAGATCCAGTACACTGGTCAACCTACATAGCTGATCAGTGGAACAGATATTCTTCTGGTGAAAACATACACTAGGTTTGTCACCCATAATTCTGAACATCTCTCCATCATCAATTCGCAATTCTTCTTATCCCACCCTCTACCGTGGCACATGCTGACAAGGCAATAGTGTTCACCTTTACATCCATTCTAGATCCAGTACACTGGTCAATGTACATGGCTGATCAGTGGAATGGATATTCTTCCGTTGAATACGTTCTTACATACCCAATCTGTTTTTATGCCTTGGTGATAAATCGGATTTATTCAGTTCACCTTTTTTGCCATAGTCTGTCTATTGGCAATATTTGCTAACTCTTTTATAGATACCAGTTAGTAGTCTTCTACTTGCCTGTCCGGAACTTCTTGGATTAAATTGAACGATAACTTGCATGCTTCCTTCCCTCTTACTCCCTCATTAGCTAGGTTACAACCTAGACTGTTTTGCGTTTCTGTCTTCCTTTCCAGAGATCTGCTGCTGTAAGAAAAAAGGGCGTCTTCCGTTAGACTGGCGCGATATCCAGTGATGAATTTATTCGGAGTATAACTGAAAAACCAGAAGCAAGATACAATNGCTTTCCCATTATGCACACTCTGAGTGACCCCCACTTCTGTCCATTCCCGTCCAACGATCTGCAGGCTGCCTCCTGTTATTTTACTTACTGTATGTCGTATTTCCAATTATCTCATCATTCATCCGGTACAATAATTCTTGGTTTTCGTCCTACTTCCACCGACTTGTTCTTGTGGAGCATTCTGCCATCTCGAACCTTTTTCTCTGATACCTTGTCCACTTTGTGTTCCATTTGTAATTATGTTCAATGCGACCTTCAAAGTTTTCCTTTTCGGCTTCTCATATAAGGATGATTATGTTGTACATTTGACCATGTCTATGCATGCTTCACGAGTCTCCGTGAAATATACACTTATTATTATTATAATTATTATTATCAGTGAGTGACTGCCTAAGTCTTGAACGTTGAGGAATGAAACGACGATAAAAATTGAGTATTACGTCAAAACGTTGGAGCTGCCTAAACGTGATGGGTTCCGATTAGTCTATTACTGCTTGAATTTTGTCATTTGGTCGCTCAATACCAGAGGCTGAGATGCAGTGACCGAGGAAATCAATGTTGGAGGCACCGAAAATACATTTTTGTGCGTTCACCGTGCCAAAGGATCGAAAAGTGCTCGGAGGTGTGTCAGGTGTTCCTCGTGCAATGAGCTAGTCACTAGGATATCGTCTAAGTAAACAAAAACAGTCTAAACGTCTACAAACGTTATGCATGAAAGGCTGGAAGGACTGTACGGCGTTGCTTTAAACCGAATGGAATTCAGAGAAATTCGAATAAACCAAAAGGTGTGAATACGGCTGTTTGAGGGATGTCGGCTTCTGATACCGGTATCTGGTTGTATGAGCGAACCAGAACGATGCGGCTGAAGACGATTCTACCGGCTAGGTCTGACGGGAGATCCGTGATGTGGGGGATTGGGTATCTATCCAGAGTTGTCACGCGGTTGAGTGCGCGATAGTCTTCACATGGACGCGGGGTCAGAATAAAATGGCTGACGTCACACTCGGTGAAGAAGTAAGCAATGTGGACCCCGTGGTACCCCAAATAGCCACCGTAAAGAGAGACGAGAGGCGTAGATTAACACCGTCAGTAGGATTGACAGCCTTACGAGCCTATATGGACCGGAAGCTTCAGAAGCTCAAGGTTGTCATCCAGGAACAGGCGATGGAAGCGAAGAGTGTACAGGAGGCGGCTAACAAGCTGGCCGGTGCAGTAGGTAGTTTGGCCAACCAGGCAGAACTGGCTATGGGACCTAACCGCAATGTGGTTATGAAAGGCACCCCTGAACCATTCTGTAGATCTACTCAACAAAGAGTAAGGGAACTCCGGCAGAGAGTGGTCGACCTACTGAGGTTGGTAGGTATCCCTGCTCATGCCCTGGTAAAGAGGGTGCTGCGGCTGGGAAGGTGGAAGAACGAGGATGACAATGGATTAGCGAATGGGAGACCGGCGCGTGGGGCATAGATCGAGTACCTTGGATCTGATAATCATCAAGTACCCGGATGTCGTCGAGGGCCTCCAACTAGTGGCCCCGCTAAGGAAAAGTGACCACGGCACTTTGCGATTCACAGCACCACTTAACACTGCAAAGCCGCCTGACAAATGGCGGAGAAACTTCAGGAGGTTGGACGTGCCGGCTCTTCAAGATCATGCGAGGACTCTAAACTGGGAGGTGGCAGGCCTCTCAGCGGAAGATCTTTGGCACAAGGTTAGAGCAAACCTGACCCAAATGACGGAGGAATTCGCCCTATTGAGGAAGATAAGAAGGAGGTGACAGCCCCCGTGGTGGAGTAGAGCTTCGGTTAGGGTCCACGTTCGGAAACATAGGGCCTGGAAACTATTTCAGGCTAACCAGGGGCACAGCAGATACTTTGGCGAGAGGAAAGCCGGGGATGATGCCACCAGGCTACAAAAACAATATCGAACTGGGTACGAAGTGTCGCTAGCACAACGTGCCAAGGCATGTCCTAAAGACTACTTCAACTGCGTGCAGGCTAAGGGCAAACTAAGAGAGTCAGTAGGTAGTATTGAACTCTTCCCAGGCACACTGGCAATGACCGCTAGTGAAAAGGTCGGAGGCCTACTAAACTATTTCAAGTCAGTTTACGTAGAAGACGACGGCCACCAACCGGTCATCCTGCCTCCATGCCTCGTACAGGAAATGCTTCAAATATATATCACCAATTTTGAGGTAGCCATGGAACTCAGAAGCCTGGACTCGACGGGCTATACCCAGCCATCATCCAACCCATTGCAGACATCCTGGCACCATCAGTTGCGGCGCTCTTTAACCGTAGCCTAGACCAGGCCGTTATCCCTACCGAATGGAAAACGGCTGAGGTTAACCCAGTATACAAAGCCGGACGAAGGAAAATACCCTGGAATTACCGTCCAGTAAGTCTCCTGTGTATCTTACTGAAGATTATGGAGAAGTATGTAAGGAATGCCATTGTAAGCCATCTAACTCAGCACCGTCTGGTAGCACAGCAGCAGCACGGGTTCGTCAAAGGCAGGTCTTGCCTGTCGAATTTGCTGTCCTTCCTTGACGAGGTAACTGCCAGACTAGACCGTGGTGACCTTTTGAAGTTTGCTATCTGGATTTCCAGAAGGCATTCGACTCGGCAACCATCGGCTACTTTTACTCAAGTTAAGGAATTTGCGAGTTGCTCCTGTGGTGGTGGATTGGATAGGAGAATACTTAAGTGGGCGAAACTTCTACGTGAAAGTAGAAGAGTCCCAATCTACCTCCTCCTTGGCCTGTAGTGGGGTACCACAGGGATCGTTACTTGGGCCTTTGATGTTCGTAATATTTATTAACGATCTAGCTCAGAGGCTACAGTCTCCGTGCTTCTTATTCGCCGATGATGCCAAAATAGTAAGTAGGCCAACCGGGGATGTCATCCAGCAGGACTTAGACATCCTCTTCAAATGGTCCGTAGTCTGGGGTCTACCACTGAATGCCAGCAAGTGTAGGCACTTAGTGTCTGAAGGTTGTCCTGTATTGTGCTACCTGAACCCGGATAACCCCCTGGCAATTCAGCACACGGAGACAATAAAGGATCTAGGGGTGCTTATGCACCAGTCCTTTAAGCCGTCACCACAATGTGCTGAGGCTGCCGGGAAGGCTCGAAGAGCTTTGTTTCAGATGCGACGTACTGTTGCATCGAGGGATCCGATAGTCCTGCTTCCCCTGTACAAGGCGTTCGTTCGCCCTCACTTAGAATATGGATTCCAAACATGGGCACCAACTAAGGTTGGAGACATGAGCATTCTCGAGAGGATACAAGAGAGGTTCACCAAATTTCTCCCAGGTCTCCAAGGGTTGACGTACTCCCAGAGACTGGAGAGGCTAGGGATTTTCTCCCTCAGTAGAAGATTGAGGGGGATCTCATAGAGACCTTCAAGCTCTTGAAAGGAATCACCAGTACAGGGGTCCCCATACTTAACACAGATAACAATCCTTCCCTCAGGGGCAACGGATCGAAACTGAGCAAGCCCAGAGCTCTGAAGAGCATTAGGGCGAACATCTCCAATAGGGTGGTGAACGCATGGAACAGACTGCCAGCGAAGGTAGTCTCAGCCCGGACTGTAGTGCAGTTCAAAGCCAGGCTAGACAAGAGCTGGATTTCCATGTCCCCCGAACGAGTTGGTAAGCCCATTGTTTAGTGATCACAGAAGTCCTTCCAACTGTATCGAGATATGAAACAGTTTATTCACAAGTCATCTGTCGTCTCTTCTTGAATTCTGTATTCTCCTTCAGCTCCACTGCAGCTCTGCCTCTAAAATTATGAATCTTTTTTCGTTGCTATTCTGTTTCTGTTTTTTGAACTCGTTTCCGCGTATTTTCTCCCGAGCGGATATTCCAACTCCCAATTTTCCGTCTTGCCATTACTTTTAATAAGACATAAGTTCGCCATAACAGATCACCCCAAAACTCCATCTTTATGACCTTGTCCAATTTGTGTTTCGTTTTCAACGCAAGGGCCATTTACGATATTCTACGTACTTGTTTGAAAATCACTTTCCTACACTCTTTGTACTATTACTTTTTGCTTTCCACTGTTCACGTTTCATATTGTTGTACATTTTGATCATGCGCACTAGCATGCTTCGCGGGCTTCGCGAAATATACCGTTATTATTATTATTATCTAATTCTGAGACCTTGCTTTAACCTTACGTACCCCCTTCTTTCTAGAGGCTTCCTCGCCTTCTCTATCGTTATTGTTAGTTTTAGTACTATTACCGAACTACTAGTTCAACCTATCCTTCTTCTCTTTTCGTCTTATTTTCACTCTATTGTCAGTTGATATAAGGTGCTTGTCTAACAATGCGTAACAGTGTTAGGTGTACGCAATTATCCGCTTCTAATCGTGAGTTGGCTGTTTATTCCAGAATGAATCCCGATATTGTACTCTGCAATCCGTAAACCAGCAAACCACCCCTGGTGAACTAAAGAACTGGAATATCGGACGGTTGACGCACGGGTGGACATCCACGCCCACTCGAGCAAGAAACTGGATTCTCGTTGGCTCAAGCCGTAAGTACTGGAATCTGAACTAAATAGAACTGAACTGAACTGGATAGGGTTACGTTGGCTGCCTGCAAAGTCAGTGCTACTGGGTTGGCGTTATTCTGTTTAGTGAACGGCTTGCGCTCTGGCATCTTCCATAAACGTAAGCTCGGACGAGTTACCGTAGATAAAAAGGAGGTGAAATGGGGTGGGAAAGCCGGTCGAGGTTGTCACAGTCGTGTCTCCCGAATAGATCAACGAGAAATGTGTAGCGGAATTCGGATTCCAAAAGGTCAATAAAATGAAAGATTCAGCAGGTTTCTACGGTACTGCATTAATAAACGAGCAAATAAGGAAACGAAATCTGTGCAAACCTCAAAGTTATCTCGAAACAACTTGAAAACAAGAGCCAAGTGTTACTGTAAGCGTAATTCAACAAATCTGAACGGAAGAAAATGAGTCTGGATAAGAATAGTACGCACATTGTCACGCTGCCTTCTGAACGAGTCAAATTTAAGCGGTCGGGTCGAGCTTAAAACAAACAGGGTACAAATGAAGCAGTAAAACAAAGTGAAATAACGGTAGAAATGTGTAGACGTACAAATGAGGTGAAACATCAAATGTTTATATATGAATGAGTCGGATGGTGCTAGGTAAATGAAACGTGAATTCACGAAATGTGGAATCAAAATGGATTGACTGGGCTTCACAGGAAGAATTTTCGCGGATCGATGAATAGACCACTGAATTAAAAGGCGTAGGACAATGACCGAAACAGACCTATTGAAGACGGGGTCATAGCTTGGGCGCTGCGTCCGGGACAAAAGCACGAGCAGACGGCTTAGAATGCCCTATTCCGGAAAAGTTAGTTATGCTACGCGCAAATGCGTGCAGCATTCGATATAATTCGGCAGAGCTACGGGTCACATCTGGGGGTTTCAAATCTGCAGTGATTGGGGTCTCTGAAACTTGGTTAGGTGAAAGCGATCACATACCACAGACCCCCCGTAAACAGCTTTGAGATCCACAGACAGGATCGAGGGGGAGAATGGTAAGGTGGAAGAGTAGCGCTTCTCATTCGCAAAGAAACTCCCCACAGGAGAGTGGACATAGAAGTCTGCACATCCAATATACAGATGTGTGCTATCTTACTTTTCTAGGACAAACAGCGCCACCTTAACCAGCGTGCACAGGAGTTCGGGAGCCACCATAGATGAAGATGAGCAACTAATCAGGGAGCTGGATGCACTAGCACAGTCCCAACAGAAACTGGTAATTGCTGGGGACTTGAACCTACCTGGCATCCAGTGGACCACAGAGACCTGCTCGGAGGGTATACCAGAGATGAATGCACTCCAGAGCCCTCCTGCAACACTTGAGGGAAAATACAAGATTCAAGACGAGGCAAAATCCATCACTCCTAGATTTGGGGTTTACTAAATACCAATGGGACGTAGAAGATCTCTCGTTTCACCCACCTACGAGAAAGAGTGATCATCTAGTGTTAAAAGTGACCATCAATTTTGGGGAGTCCAAAGCATCCAGCCGAAAAGTTAGAAACTTCAGTAAAGTGGACAGGAGTAGGCTGCAGGCAAGAACCTTAACTCTAGAATGGGAAGCAGAAAATGAGCAGATCACAGCAGAGACTCTTTGGCATAGAATCAAATGTAATCTACAGTAACTCCAAGACGAGTTCGCACCCCACAAATTTGGGAAAGGTTGTAATAAGCTTCCATGGTGGTCTCCGTCAATAGGGAGATCACTAAGGAAAAGAAACAGAAGCTGGAGACACTACAGAGAGGTTAACACCCGGCTGGCATGAACAAACTACACGATCCAGAGGAATAGGACAGTCGGTTTTATAGGAGTAGAAAAGAGAAAACAAACTAAATTCAGCGGAAAACGTCAAGCAAAATCCGAAAAGGCTTTTCAGGTAAGTTCAATCGAAACGC